TTCTAGTCGAGGGTCCAGATCAACACACTTTCTAGAATACCACAAGTTTATGCATCAAAACACAAAAATGCCCTGCTGCAAACACGTGGTGATATATTTTCCAGAAATAGCTACTGCAAAAATTTTGATGAAGATTGGTTGTTAAAGAAGAAAACACGAAGAAAGGAGGAACAGTCATAATAATTTATTTTTCATGTGGTTGCATTCCTAAACACCTTAGATGACTACCAAATAGCAACACTCTTCTTCAAGGTCATATCACAGTAAAGGCCCAATCTAACAATTTATAGCATATTCCTTATCCAAGATAAAGATGAGGACAAAAGCTCGTGAAAATTTTTATGATAAAATTTAACATTTCTTAATCTTTAAGAATTCATCGATTGCTCTCTATAGTCTTTAAGGGAGTAATTGCAATGAAGGAAGTGCTAATTGCATGCATCTGCAGTTCTTACAACTAATGTCACGTGCAATTGCAGTTGCAAAAATTAATTTTGGTTTTAAAATTGTGAACTATTCTTGTAATATACTTGCAGTTGTTTGTTTTCGAATATTATGTCTTTTTCCTTTTGTTGTTCATTGAATTGGAATCGCAACTTAAACCATTTACATCCCAAAAGAATTTCATGCAAACTTGCATCCAAATCTGAGTAATTGTTGGCTATAGATGGAGGAAATTTTGCAACTACAGAGAAACCAACTGTAGTTGACTCAAAAAATCTCCATTGCATGCAACTACGATTGCAATTCTTGCAATTGTAGTGAAACAAACAGGCCTTTAAAGTACCCATTACATCCGGGTTGCAGCTTCTCACCCTAAATGGTTTCTAGCACAAAAACTTTATAATAACAAAGTAAACAACTTAATTACATAAATCTAATATTCCATGTACAAACTAGCAATACCTGAAATAGCTCAAAAGTGAGCCTCTTCAGCATCAAATCATGCGCAGAATCGGTAGCCAGTGCTTTCCCCTTTATGTCTTCAGGCGCACTGGCAAAGAACTCTTTCTCTGGCACCAGCTCAATATCAGGATACTTGGATTTAAAATCCTTACAAGCTTTAATCGCCTTCATATAATGATTCTTCTCATATGTCAAATTATGAAGCTGCAACGTCGTAAAATCCACCGGTGCCTTCGCGCTCTCTGTCTCCGCTTTCACTCGATCCTCCTCCAGCAATATCGCACGATTCACCTGTAAAATTAGACAAAAAGGGTAAATTCCAAGAAGCCTACTTCATTTGTACACTGCTTTTAAGAACCCCTCTTCAATCAAGTTCAAAAAACAAACCGATCGTGATAGTCGTCAAAATCATTAGTTCTTGAACAGAAATAGGCGGAAGGTAAATGCACGTCGGAGGCTTAAATCTAAATTCCATGACAACTCTAGGGTCATTTGCACTTAAATACCCCAAAGCTTTGCAAAATTTTAACTTTGATACCCAAAGTCTTTTTTGCCCAAAAGCAATACCCCAAAGCTCGGGGGCAAAAAATTTTAACTTCGATAACCTAAAATGACTTTATGGGGGCATCAAAGTTTTTTTTTATAATATATTTTTTTAATTTAGAGGCATTTTTGTGTAAGAAAAACTTCAGGGTACATTTGAGTGCCAAATAACCCCCTACTGTGTTCATCTAGAATCTTCAATTTTCTCCCTCGAGCTTCGTAGGGTAAACGCATGTTCATAGAAAGGGATTACTCGTAACTTAACCTAGATTTTTTAAAAAAAATCGAAACTTTGCAATTTAGAAACCCTAACCCGATATATATATATATTTTTATTTCATTATTATTGATAATTTTAAGAGACCTGACGAAGGGCGATAAAGAGGAGGGACGTGTTGGTGATGAGTTCCTTGAGGTCGGATTTGGGCCGGGCTTCCTTCTTCATGAAGAGCATCTTGGCGGCGATCTCCTCCATCGCCGTACGCGTGTCCTCAAGGAGCTCGTGGGCCGTTCGTTTTGTCTTCGCCGGTGCGTTAAGATCGACCTCCATTTCTTTGGATCTTCTCTCCTGTGAGCGGGGTGCTTGTTTTCGAAAGAAGGGGGCAAAAATAAAAATTCAGGCGGAGGAGGAGGAGGAGGCTGTAGTAGGGGTTTTCAGATAGTTTGGATCATTAGTGTGGAATGGTTTAAGTAATTTTATACCCAGCCTAGCCCAATCCGGTTTAGAACGAAGTAACTACATACCCGGCCCAGCCCATGTGTAACTTACCTACGATTACTATTTACATCTTGGGCCGAGTTTTGTCCTTACCATACTTGGAAATTATTAGAGGGAACGGACCAAACTAAAAGTGGTTTAGCTGTAAAAAAAATTTTAAATATAAAAACTGGGTCAAGCTCAGTTTGTGCCTACTTAAAAAAAAACCTTAAAATTAGACCAATACAAGGTTTTAAGGGGTTTCCAAACACGCACTTGAGTCAAAATCAATCGTCAGCCAACAATGGGGAATACAAATTTTATCGAACATTTTCCATGAGTACAATGTTTAGATAAACATCTATTAAGTAGGCTTAAATCTTAACCGCCCACGTGTTTTCACCAAGCAGTTGAGTTGTCAGCACTTCAGAATCGGTTTCATGCATAACAAACATTTGGGGAAAATGCTTCCAGCTCTAAAAACAGGAGAAAACGTTTGGGAAAATGCCTCCAGCTCTAAAAACATTTGGGAAAATGCCTCGCACCCCTAAGATTTTTTTAACGGGTGCTTTGCCCCCAAAAGTAACATTTTTATTCTTTAAGCCCCCAAAACACAAAGCTTAATAATTTTACACATGTAAAGACTATAATACTCATTTTCTCTCTCTAACCCTGCAATCCCTCTGTTCTCCCTCCTCCCTCCCCCACCTCTCCACCCGCCGCCGCCGCCGTCCTCCTGCCATCCTCGCCTTCTCTGTCACCGTCGCTCCGGCCATCCACAACATCCTCAAGATCCACAATACAGAGAAAACTCTGGCGCGGTTCGAGGAGTACAGAGAGATTGTCTGCTTGAGGGCCGAGCGAAACTCCGACGACAATGGGGGGCGCATGTGTCTCTGTCGGAGGAGCTAGAGACGGAGTTTGCTTTCCTGCATGTGTTGAGTAACTGCTAGTATGATGCTTTCTCTCAGGAGATCAGGATCTGGAATGCCTGCTGTGATGGGAAGTACAATTCTGATGTTCGCGGGTTGGAGATCTGTTTCCTTCATGATGCTTAGTTGTTGACCTCGAACTTGCTTGAGATGACCTCTTCGTTCGAGGGCTTGAGCTCTTCGTGCGGTTCTTTGGCGATATGGAACCAGTTCGCTCTGGTTTTCTTGCACGAGGACTTGCACTGCTTTAAATTGGGGAAATTTAAAAGGCTAAGCTGGCCATGCTTTAAATTGGGGAAAAGGAAACAATAAATAAACAATGATATTTGCAGCAAGGAAAGTTAAGCTTCTAATTATGGGGTAAGCGAAAACAATTCTCCATGCTAGTGGTTTTAAAGAGAAAGAATATGACGCACAATACCCTGTTATTGGTTCCATTCTTCTTCCCCCCTATCCGTTCCTTATTGTTGTGGCATAATTGGCTTATTGGTTGTTGGTAATGTAAATATAGCTAAATTTTGGGCTAATTGGCTTATAATTAGTTGCAGTGGTGGAATATCAACGGGTGGTTCTTGAAACTTTTGTCGAATTCCATTAATATGAAGGTTACGTGTTTGTTGTTAAGGTTACAGGTTGGTTGTTAAGATTATACGAGTTGCTTGTTAAGGTTAGGGGTTACTTGTTAAGGTTACGCGTTGGTTGTTAAGGTTATGCGTTTGTTATTAAGGTTACAGGTCAGTTGTTAAGGTTACGAGTCAGTTGTTAAGGTTACGGATTGGTTGTTAAGGTTACACGTTAAGATTTATATGTATATATATTTTAAGTGACATGAATATTTTGGACCACTTGGCCTAGTGGTAAAGTTTAGGAGTTTGGACAAGAGGTTAGGGGTTCAAACCCGTACGGCCACAATATATGTTTAAGGGTCTTTGAATTCTAAAAATATTTTTAGAATACTCGTTGTTAAGGTTACGGGTTTGTTGTCAAGGTTACATGTTTGTTGTTAAGGTTACGCGTTTGTTGTTAAGGTAACCTTAACAACGAATATTCTAAAAATATTTTTAGTATTCAAAGAGCCTAAGAGCCTTGTTGTCAAGATTACGGATTTGTTGTTAAGGTTACTGGTTTGTTGTTAAGGTTACGGGTTTGGTTGTTAATATTACGGGTTGATTATCAAGGTTAATTTCACAACAAATGCGTAATCTTAACAACAAACTCGTAACATTGACAACAAACCCGTAACCTTAACAACGAATATTCTAAAAATATTCGTTGTTAAGATTACGGGTTTATTGTCAAGGTTATGGGTTTGTTGTTAAGGTTACGCGTTTGTTGTTAAGGTAACCTTAACAACAAATATTCTAAAAATATTTTTAGTATTCAAAGAGCCCAAGAGCCTTGTTGTCAAGGTGATCGGTTTGTTGTTAAGGTTACAGATTTGTTGTTAAGGATAATGGTTTGGTTGTTAATGTTACGGGTTGATTGTCAAGGTTAATTTTATAATAAACGCGTAACATTGACAACAAACCCGTAAGCTTAACAAGGAATATTCTAAAAATATTTTTAGAATTCAAAGAGCCCTAAGGCCCAAGGCCCATCAAAGACCGTTAAATATATATTGTGGCCGTAGGGGTTTGAACCCCTAACCGCTTGTCCAAACTCCCAAACTTTATCACTAGGCTAAGTGGTCCAAAGTATTCATGTCACTCAAAATATATATACATATAAATCCCAATGTGTAACCTTAACAACCGACCCGTAACCTTAACAACCGACCCGTAACCTTAACAACCGACTCGTAACCTTCACAACCCGTACCCGACCCGTAACCTTAACAACCGACCCGTAACCTTAACAACCGACTCGTAACCTTCACAACCCGTAACCTTCACAACGCATAACCTTAACAATCGACCCTAACCTTAACAACCGACCCTAACCTTAATAACCGACTCGTAACCTTCACAACCCATAACCTTAACAACCGACCCTAACCTTAACAATCGATCCTATCCTTCACAACCAACTTCTTCCCGCCACCGTCGTAGGCCTCTTTCAAGGCTTTCGAAGTTTGATTTGCTTAAGATGACCTCAAAACAAATTAAATTTCAAATACTAGCGGAATAAGGTTTGTAAAATATTGTAGCCATCATCAGCTCCATACAAAAATTTCCCACCATCAGTTTCGTAAAAAAGTTTCCCACTTAAAAAAACATCATTAATTGCTCCGGGAGAAAGCCCAAAAAATTTCTCACTATCGTCGACGTCACCGGCAACTGTCATCCCCTAGCTCCTGAGGAAGCAGTCCAGCTCCCGTTCCAACATCGTCTCGTACTACGCGCGTGTGTATCACTGGTAATGCAGTAACATCTAAAAATAGCTGCCCTCGCATCTCTCCTTCCTAAATTTTCACCTCCGATGTTAATGTCGTCGATGTTGATGCCGTTGAAAATTTTTGGAGGGAACTAGAAACCTAAAACCCAGTTGAAATCATCACAGTAACATTATAATAGAAAGAGAGAAAGAAAAGGGTATTATGGTCTTCATGTATTTTAATCTCTTGGGTTTTGTGTTTTAGGGGACTCAGAGAATAAAAAGTTACTTTTAGGGGCAAAGCACCCGTTGAAAAAGTCTTGGAGGTGGGAGGCACATTTTCTCCTGTTTTGGGGGCTGGAAATATTTTCCCCTAAACATTTTGATAGCATTTAGACTCTTTAAATGGAGAAAAGAAGTTAGGATGTGCCCTTCATAGAAAATGTATTGTTGATATCAGTTATCTAATAGAGGGTCTATTTGGGGATTAAAGTAGAGTTAGGGTCCTCAAACCCTGTTAGATACTAGCTCTGTAGATAGCTGTTCTTCCCTGCACATGAAGAACTCGTAAGAGGCCTGAGTTGAGTTCGCTAGTTGTTCCTCCGACTATCAAGTCAATATATGAACTTGAGTGGGAAAATGTGAGATGGTGAAGAAGGTTTTAAAGTTTTGTAAAGAAACCAGACAGTTACCATAAGTTGTGTGACTTCCTTTTATAGAGAATCAGAGGGGTAGATAAGTAACTTGTGCCGAATCTAGGCAAGCAGCTAACTCGGCATACAACTGACAGGTGTCGGCTGTTGGCGAAGATAGGTCATCCAGGTGATTTGTACCAAGCACAACAACTACTTGGTGCTAACAGAGCCTAATAAGTCATAAAGACTTTAGGGACTAGACTAATGATGACTTTGTCAAAGCAGTTAATATAAGGGCAAGCGGCTATCAGCACGGGGTTCGAGGAAACTACTGCCTCTTCAGTCATCTGGTGGAGGGCCGAAGTTTGTGGAAAATTTGTAGTAAAAAGAATAAAAGAAAATTTGATTTGTATTCTCTCAATCTTAATTACAATTTGAATTCCGATTACAAAAGAGAGGAGAACGAATTTGATTCTCTCCTTTGTTTAATTCTGGGTTCTTCATGGTGGCGGTAGAATGCTTCCTTCGAATGTCCGCGTCGAATTTGCTCTCCGTTGACGATCCGAATGTCTCAATTCACTAGAACAACCGACTTGTGTGTTCGAGCTGGTAACCAGTAACCAACTCCGGTGGAGAAGAGTTGTTTGAACCAAAATAATTCGGTTGAGAAACCAAGCTTTAAATATCTGATAATCTTCGGTTATTGAAGATTATTACCTCCAGATTTTCTCCAGAATTTTATCTCCAATATCCGATTCTTACCTCTCCAAAATCTGATCCCCGAACTCTGTTGAGTTTGTTGATATTTATATGGATATTCGTGATGTAACTACCCCTATAATTTACTCCTAAGTGGGGCTGAATGGGGTGTAACCGCCTCCTTAATCCACTCCTAAGTGGGGGTGGAAATCCCTCAGATCATGGGGAGAAAACGGTTTCTGGAACCGTTCAATTCGTGTTTGAACGAGTCAAACACGAGTCTTGTACTTGCGAGCTGCGTTGGGCAGCAGATGCTCCTGCATTGGCAGCTGTTAGAAGCTGCGTTCAGCAGCGAATGGAAGCTGCGTTCAGCAGCGAATGGA